GCAAGTACCCGGACGCGCCCTCCAAGCCCCGGCATGCCTCGCCCACCCGCGCGCGCATGTACAACCGCTGACGCAGCACACCCGGACACTTCATTCGCGCGATTGCATCCCTGGCCTGATTGGTTGATGGACGATCGCTGCACAAGCTGTCGGGACCTGTCAGCAACCCATGAAATACAGGACAGGCAGCCGAGCCTGGCCAGACGGCGGCCCAGGGCGTGGGACACACAGGGGAGGCTATGTGCTCAGGTTTGGGTGGATGCGCCACAGACGACATGGGACAGAGCGCCCGCCCTGCTGGCGCGTGCTGGCGGCGTTCGGTATATTTCACAGTCTGGTCTCCTGCCGCAACCCCTGCTTGCAATGTCGCAGCAACTGAGGCTTCACCTGTTGGCTGACAAGCAAAGCTTTTGGTTCCTTGAGCCGCCCGGGGAGCCGCTGCCGCTGGATCGGCTAGGCAAGAAACGTGACGCGTTGCAAGCGCTGTTGCAGCAAAGGCGAGTCTGAAACAGCCTGCGCGTGGCACTGCGGAAGTCGCTGCTGCCAGCCACCGCCGCCGCCTACCCAAGCCGCCGCTCCCTCGCTCACCTGCCAACCGGCCCTCGGTCTCCTGCCGTGCTGCAGGTTCCCGCTGTCTGCATCACTCCAGCAGCGCATCCAAGCGCATGAAAAGAACAGCAGCACCCGCGGCTTCCTCTGCCAGCTGTGCGTTGGCATCCTGCTGCCGGCGGGGCTGTTGACGCAAAACGCCTGGGATTACGGTGCGTGCGGTGCGCACATTTTTATTCGAACTACCTGTGCTGTTGCCTTGGAACCTGTGACTGCGCTTGAATGCGATAGCGCCGCCACCGCTTCCCCGCCCGCCGCAGACCGCGACATGGATGTGTTGCGGCGAGAGGCGAGCGTGGTGCTCGCGGCCCACTTCCCTCCCGGAGAGTTTGAGCTGCAGGAGCACATTGACAGCGAGACCAGCTTCAAGAACGGGAAGCTCTTGTTCGCCCTGTACCTGAACTGAGCGGGGTTGCAAGAATGAACGGGGTACTGGCATTTAACAATGAGCAACCTTGCAACAGCTTCCGCGATGTGTGCTGGAAGCGCCGACCCCGCACGCTGCTGCCGCGGCCAGGCCGCTGGCTGTGGCTGCCTGCTCGGCCGTGCGGGGCTGTTGGCATCAGTCGCCGAGGCGGCGGCCGCGGCCCTGGAAGGCGCGGAAGCGCACGTCGCTGGGGTTGATGGGGTTCACCGCCTGGATGGGCACCCGCCCGATGCCGTGCTGCAGGCACAGGCGGCTGAGCCAACGGGGGGTCTGGATGACGTGGCGCCCGCTGGCAACAGGGTACACGTCTGTGAGGAACCAGTACCTGCGCGGGCGGAAAGGTGCAGGTGGGGGGGGTCCTGGGTGGGTGTGGGTGGTGGTGTTGGTGGCGGTGGTGGGAGTGCGAGGGTGTGTGCTCGTGTGTGGTGGTGGAGGGACACACAGGAGAGGGCATGGGTGGTAAAGCCTGTCGGACCGCGCGGCAGGCCGCCTGCAGCCGGGCCCCGCTCCCCTGCGCTGCCTTGCTGCCGACGGCCCCCACTCCCAGCCCCCAGCCAGCGCCGAACGCCAGCGCTCCCCCCGCAGGCGCCCGCCCGCCCGCCCCTCACATGTGGCCCATGAGGATGCCCATGACGTCGCTCCAGATGTCCTGCCCCATGAGCAGGTCCAGGGCCAGGAAGGCAAAGGGCAGGTGCCTGCCGTTGAGCTTGATGAACCCAAACAGGCTGACCTGCGGGCGGGTGGCGGGTGGCAGGCGGGGGGTGGGAGGCGGGTGCTCAGGGGGGGGTTGAGCGGCAGACGCAGGCACCAGCATCACCATACCAAGTGG